TAAGCAGACGCTGCAAGTGACCACTACCTATTAATAGGAGAAGTAAGGGTAAAACTAGATCCCAAAAGAAAACCAACAAATCTTACAACACGAAAGAGATTTAACCTGCAAAAGTGAAACAAGAAGAAACAAAAGCTGAATGGAGCAACCGACTAAAAAAAGTAAAACTAAACAACCAGCAAGATGGAGGCAGCATGGAGAATAAATGAGAAGGCATAAAAGAAGAAGTTTGGGGATCTCAAGAAGAAAATAGATAGGAATGGCTGAGCTGAAACATGGAAACTATTTGAAGAAAGGAAAAAAATAAATGCAAAACTAATTTAAACCGCAAACATAGCGAACAAGGTAACAATAAGGAAGGAATACGAACAATTAAATAAACCAGCTAAGAAAGCAGCAAGGAAAAATAAAAGAAACCGGATGGAAGATATGCCCCAACGGGCAAAAGAAACGACAACAAACAACATAAGAGAGCTATACAAAATTAGCAATCTCTTCGTAGATAAGAAACACAACGGAAAACCGGTCTATAATAAAGAAGGAAAGCTGCTAACGATAACCGAAGAACAAGTAAAACGATGGCAAGAATATTATAAAGAGACTCTAGAAGAGGATAAAAGAGGCTTAAAGTATAAATTATAATCAACGAGAAGAAAAACATCTTTTAGATATTGACACGCAGAAACCCACAAAAACAGAACTTGAGCAAGCTATTAAGTATATGAGAAATAATAAAACACCAGGAGTAGACCACCTGCCAGCAGAGATATAGAAAGCGGATAGCCGAAAAACAACAGATATTCTAACACCCCTAATAACAGACATACCTACCCAAAAAAGGAGATACAAAATACTATAAGAACTGGCGAGGGGTAACTTTGCTATGTACAATAAATAAAATAGCAGCATATAAAAGAATAATGGGGGGACTACGGGCTAATTTCAAGTTGGATCTGCCACATCGCAAGTTCGCGTTGCCATGGAAGATGCGATGACAGTAGTAGCGATAGCGAATCGCAACAACTGTCATCGCATCTTCCATGGCCACGGCACTTGCGATATCGCATTCTATGCGATATCGCAAATCAAACTTGAAATTGGCCCGTTCGACAAGAACAAGCAGAATTCAGATAGCAACACTAAGAACAGTAATAAAGGAAGCAAAAAAAAACACAGAAACTTATATTGGTTTGGTACATCTTAAAGTACAAAGGAATTCCACAGAAGCTGATTAAGCTAATACCAGGAATTTTCGATGAGGCGACATGCCAAATGCTACACAGAGGTCATTTGTCAGATAAAATAAAAATGCAGAAGGGTATTAAGCAAGGATGTATTCTATCGCCCATGTTATTCAATATATATTTAAATATGGACAAAGCAATAGGAAAGAAGAACGGAATTTCGTGGAGCTATTTTCAGGTGACAAGATTGACAGACCTCGAGTATGCAGAGGACATTTGCTTAATTTCAAGATCAATTGAAGACATAGGAAAAATGTTACAAAATTTAGAAGAACACGCAATGAAATGTACAGAAAATAGTTGAAATGAGAATAAACATCGAAGAAAAGCAAGAAAAATTCTACCAAAGGGGAAAGGAAATACAGAAAGTAGATCAATGTTGCTACTTAGGCAGCATAATCAGCAGGGAAAGAGGAGGAGAATTAGACATACATTAGACACGAATAAAGAGCTATGGGCAAGATTTGTGCAAGGAATAATAAGAAAAGAAATAAAACGAAGCAAATGGAACTCGATTTTGAAGAAAGAACTTGATAATATCCACAGACATGCACTGAAATGGACTATGGAAGAAGAACGCAATAAAGGAAGACCACGTTTAACCTGGAGAAGAGGAACGCAAGAAAATGGGGAAAGGATGGAAAGAACTCGCAAGAATGACGAAGGAAAAAAACGGTGCAGTAAAAGGAATAATTTAACCAAAGAATCAGAAAAACCAAGAAAACCAAAAAATGAAGCAATTTTGCCAACAAATTATTATGATTTAGTTTGTCAAAGGCTTTAGTACAATCAGTGTACACACATACTGAACCAATTGTCAAATTTTATATTTGTATTAAGAATATCGTGTATATGGTAAACACTAATCAAATTTTGGCTGATTATCCCTACCTACAATTTGTTGACGTCATCTCCAAAATTTACAGTAGTAAATATTATTTAAATTTGATAACATAAGATACTCCTGCACATGTGGTTGAGTTTTTACCCTAGACATTCAGATTTTTGGAAAAAAAAATTGCAACATCTTGCAATTCAACTTTAAAACTGCAAAACCGAATGCTCTGAAATTTTGCAAACGTTTTAAAGTTATCGTAAGCATGGTAAATCGTTAATCAATTATTTTTTTTTTTCGTTTATGTCCCTCTAAAACAATAATTAGGTACATCATTTTACAATTTTACCATACTTAAGCGTTCTTTAATTTATATTTACCAAATATTGTTTGTTATTTCAAATCCAGTTCCCATATGAAGAATTCGGATTGGATTATTATCGGACGTTTTAGATGAAATTTATAAATTTAAATATTTAAGCTATTTTTAATGTTTTTTCGTCTATTTGTAGGTATTGTATCATTTTTAAAACAAACAGCCACGAATTTTGACGTTGAAGTTTTTTTTTTATAAAATAAGAAACGTCAATATTTGTCGTACAGTTTTTTTGATTCATTTTTTAACTTTTCACATCATTTTAGATTATTTTTTAAAAAGTTATAGATTTCTAAAGATTTTGGCTATATTCCAACGGCTCCATATAGAAACCGCTGACTTTGAGATATTTACAAAAAAATAAAAAAAAAATACTTTAACGTCAAAAATGGCCTGTTCTATTTAAAAAAATGATAAAGCACCCTATAATAAATTAAAAAACAAAGTGTGGGGTGAAACGTACTATTTTAGTTACCTATTATATATATTTCATTTTATAGGATTTCTGCACGTGTGATTCATGAATCCGTGTCGAGTTTTCATCCAGATTTTTGGAAAAAAAATCAAAATGGTATAACAACATTTTACAATTTAACTTTGGATTTGCAAAAACCGAATGCTGTGAAATCGCGCAAATATTTTATGACTACTTGAAACATGGTAAATCGTCAATCAAAATTTATCTGTCACCTTACATTTTTGCCGAATTTCTTCAAATTTGAGTGTTTTTGGGAAAAAGTGAGAATGAATTAATCAATCAGTTCTTTACTTTGCATTTTCTTTTAACCGCTGATGCTTGTAATCTGAACGTGCTAATAGTCGAATTCGGTCGAAATATAAATAGTCGAATTTAAGCATATACTGAGAAATTGAGAATGTCAACATTTTTTCCTGTTAGTTATTACTTTAATTACATATATGTCATATTTAAAGACACAATGGCTGTGGGGATGTTAATTACGCCACTTTATAGAGGTTAACAGTTGTTACAAACCGAAAATGGCAAAATCTAATTTTATAATTGTTTAAAGAAGCGGAATTTGTCGGACTCTTTCAAGGGCGATATTTTTTTACTAGCTTTGTTTTTCTTGCTAGCGTTATCAAAATTGCAAAAACATCATTTTTTCAAAACGCCAATGTCGCCGGCAAAACTGAAAATAATAAAAAAAAAAACATTTTCTTGGTATCTATACTTACTTTCAATGTTAAAAAATTGGGCATAATTTACGTCATTATTGTATTACTCGAACATATCTTTCTACCAATAACACACCATTTTAGTACATGTATTAAAATTATTTGTAGGAAGTTGAAAGTATATTTATCCTTTAAGGACAGATCAATTCCTTGTAATTAGCAGATAATCTTAAATCATACTAACTTCCTATTTCGTGGACAGTTGATGGGTTTATAATGTTCAAGAATACCTACTTTTAACAGTAATCAACATAACCCACCTTTTTCTTTTTTCCCCAACCAAAAAAATAACAACGTTGCCACGCATATTTTCTATGAGAAGTGAAGTGTTGGTGGATCTTTAAAATTTGAACAAAAAGTTATGTGTTGTCCTTCACATATTAAAATCGGTTGGTTGTAGTCAAACAGGAATGGGGGAGAAACGACGAGGGTCAGTCTCACTGAATGTTGCACATGCGGAGTTTTGTTAAAGAATTACGTAGAGGAGACGCATGATGTGAGTAAATTTTACAATTTCATTAACTGTCACACCTAAAAAACTGGAAACTACATTCAAACCGTCGGTGTTAAACACAAAATATTAGTAATCTGTTTTTAATGAGAATTTTCTAAAGTGAGTGTTGATAATAGCGGGAACAAAACAACTGCTTCCAAGTTTCTTTTTAACATTTTATACACGACACAAGCATTTTGTATTACCGTCGAAGTTTAATGAAGGAATATAATATATAGTATGTACCATATAGGGGCGACCACTTACGTCATTGTAAATACTTATAATAATCTAGAATATTTTACCTGTTTGTAATAAACTTTGGCATGTAAAAACCTTCCAAATCCGAGATTGTAAGCTGTGTTGTAATAGTCCAAGATATCAACAATATTAAAATGTTAACCGTTATTTACTCGTACCATCTGTGATGGTCACTTCTCTTCGCACGTTTTTCAGTCCCAAAAAATGAAGATAACAACGACAACACAAAAACCGTAATTCGACTTTGGCACATTTTACAACAACAAACATACATCTTTCCATTCGTACGTCATGAATAAAATGCAACAATATAAAGATCTTTAGCGGACATGCTAATAAATTCGGTCAATGATCTCGAAACCTTTTATCGAGTCCCATGTTCGTTAAATGCTTTTATTCATGTTTTAATAGATTTTTACAATGTCAACTACATCTGAGTACATATTTTTTTAACTAGAGACACTACAAAAACACTTATCCAGTTAACTTCAACGCAATCAAACTAATTTATGCTCAACATGCAGCTTGCAGTGTTAGGTGTCGATAAATTGATTCTGACATTTTAAACCATTGGATGTGGAAACCACAACTTACAGTCTACTGTCTCCAGGCATCAGATACAGCAAAATATCCATGAAAATAGCACTGTTCACTTTACACATAATTCAAATCACTCATCATTTTTTGACAAAGCATTAATCGAGGTTAAATTCACCAGACAAAAGGTCACAGCATAAAAGGTGATGTATATAATTCATGTAACGGCAAACACGACGCGGCGCACCTTTCCAATGAAAGCCACACAGCAAACTAACGCTGTTGGCTGTCGGTTTGGTAGGTCGAGTCCAGCGAGTCGACCAACTCGTCGTAGAGCGGGGTACTTTGTCTGAGTAATCCCGAAATTCAGTGGTGGGCAAAGCAAAAGCTATCGGCCCCGTCACCAGGGAAGAATGTTTTCAAGACCAACCTTGAACTCTTGCTCGCGACGAACAAGACGAACAATTATAATTCATGAAGAATAAATAAGTTCGTGATTACATGATAAGAAACTGTTAAAGGGGGGAACGGCCTTATCCTTGTCGAAAGGGTTTTTTTAACACCTGATGGAGTTAGACATACTTTGCCGAGTCAAGTAGAATAGGACTATTATCTGCATCCGACGTGTCTCAATCTGTGGCGCGCGACTCCTTTAAGGGTATAAAATAATAAGGTAGCTTGAAAATGTTTTAAAAATTTTAAATAGTATATTATTTTATTAGGAATTAATTTTTTGCGAGTCAAAAAACCCATTTTTAATCCCAATGAAACACGCTATTTTTTCTCCAGCTATTAATGTAACACAAAAATTGGAAATAATTAAATAAAAAAAATTGTAATGAAAATGAAATCAATACTCTGGTATCTATGTAGTCATGATTACCTATTTTTTTATTTACGTTGTCATTGCTCATTGATTTTCAAAAAGTATCAAAAATTGATTCATTTTTCACCAATAATGAATGTTGAACAAGATATGCCTCCAGATGTGGCCGAAAAGGCATAAATAGTAACTGCAGACTTACTTTCTACCAAGAATAGACAATATTGAAAATGTTAAATCAGGTTTACTTGTAACGATTCCTCATACAGAACTAAAAAGCCAACATCATTCACCGTTATAGAGGAAAAATATTTTAATATTTACCAGAAATATATAGCTCTTCGACCAAAAATTTTCATGAACGTCTATTTTTCCTTAAATACCTAAATGGAAAGTGTCAGCAACAACTAACTGGGATTCACAAGATTAACGATGTTCCACGAGAAGTACCTAAATTTTTAAAATTGGAAAATCCCAATGAATATAGAATATAGCGGACATTGCTTACATCGCACGTCTACCACTTTCCTTGTAGATACTCGAGGTGACATTACATCTCTCAAGAGACACGGGGGTTGGAAATCGAATAGTGTAGCGGAGGGGTACATAGAGGAATCAGTGAAGCACAAGGAAGATGTGGCGCGAAAAATGTTGCGGTTAGATGAAGCGAGTAAGTACGAGTGGAGTGATTCCCCAAAAACCACCGAAGAGCAATGAAGTAAATATAAGCAAAGACGTAACTGACAATGAAATAGCAGCAACATTGATAAACATTGTTAACACTGCTATTACAAGGGATAACAGTGACGGCAAATCGTTAATCCAATTTTCTGAAAGTTGTTCTAATTTTACATTTATGTAATATCAATTTTAAAATTTAGAAATCATGTAATGTGTTTAATTATTATCAATAAAATGATAAAATATTAAAGACCGCATTATTAATATTTTCAAAATTGACGAAAAAATATAGTTTGAGATTCATTATTGGGAGTATTTGTTTTTAATCCTAGCATTTAAAAGACTTTTAAATCCTTGGATTAAAAGTGAATGTTGCCGTAGTAACGCAAGTTTTTTTTTCCTAATTACAAAAACGTCTACTCTACTTTTAGTGTGGAAATTGCCATTAAAAGTGTCATGTTTTAAGGCGGCTGGAAAAAAAACTATTTATTGAAACCAAAACAAAAAGTAAGTTAAGAAAGAAAAGCTAAAGTTTGTCATCATGTACAATGGTAATTCGAAAAGAAATGCAAGAATTGGAAAAGGGAAGTAATAATAAAAACGAACTAATGAAGAAAGTAATACAGTTGCATAACAATCGATGGGAAATAATAATCGTGTATTGCAAGAAAATGTAGGAAACCAAGATAAACATAGAAAAGGAAACAAAAGAAAAAATTGGTCTAAAGAGTTTAGACAGTACTTCCCTCGCTGTCGGAAACTTGACGACTGCATGCCTATTGTGTTTTTTTTCTCATTACATTTTTGTAGTGGGAATTTAAAAAAAAATTGCGATGACGTCATCAACATTTTTGCAAGGACACGTATATCAGTTGGGATAGATGTAGTGTAATACTAAGAATAAAATTATTATATTCTCAAATTTTCGGGAAAATGAATTGGGTCGTTTGAATATTGATTTGTAATAATCAATAAAATAACGAAACAATTTACTCACGTATACCTACGTATCAGAGGCAACTGAAAATCGTGTATGTATAAACATTGTTAATTTAAGATGACAGGCGTAACAGCATACGTGAGAGCCAAACACAGAAACTGTAAACAAAACGACCGTCGGTTTTATTGCTTCGACTTCCGCTTATTATATAAAACATTGGGTTTTATTTTAATTCTTGACGGTGAAATTCACAATTGGTTGATTATAAACATGTCTATTTCACATTCGCGGAATCAAGTGAACGCATAAAACAAATGCAGGTCTGTAATGTTAAAGTCGATGTAAATAAGCGTGCTACCCTTATGTTTCAACCGAGTTTTTCCTTTAACAAATTTTGTGTCTACCAAATTGGGTTGGTTGGGGTGTAATACTAATAATAAGTGTTGCCTTTAATTTAATCAATAAAATAAATTGACTTCATTAATTTTTTTGAACCACCTCTTAAGAAAATCTAAAAAATATGAATGGAATGATAAATCACAAGTACAAACTCATCGTATTTTTTGCATTTTAGATAGGATTTATTCAGCAAAATTTAAGGGTGACGTCATCATTTTTTTTAGGAGGGATGAACAAATACATTTTGAACAAAAGTTTACCATGCTTATAATAACTTTAAAATATTCCCAAGATTTCAAAGCATTCGGTTTTGTAATTCCTGATTAAATCGATAAAATAAATTCACGCCTTCATTAATTTTTTTGAGTCACCCTGCATATGCAAATCCAAAAATATGAATGGAATGATAAATCACAAGTACAGACTCATCATATTTTGTACATTTTAGATACGATTTATTCGGAAAACTTTTGAGCTGACGTCATCAGTTTTTTGTAGAAGATAACCAAATATATTTTGACTAAAAATTTATTATGCTCTTTATAACCTTAAAACATCTGCAAGATTTCAAAGCATTCGGTTTTGTAGTTCCTGATTAAATCAATAAAATAAATTTACGCATTCATTAATTTTTTTGAGTCACTCTGTATATGCAAATCCAAAAAATATGAATGGAGTGATAAATGACAAGTACAGGCTCATCATATTTTGTACATTTTAGATATGATTTATTCGGCAAACTTTCGAGCTGACGTCATCAAGTTTTTGGAGGGGATAAGCAAATATATTTTGACTAAACATTTATTATGCTCTTTATGACCTTATAACATCTGCAAGATTTCAGAGCATTCGGTTTTGTAGTTCCTGATTAAATCAATAAAATATATTTACGCATTCATTAATTTTTTTGAGTCACCCTGTATATGCAAATCCAAAAAATATGAATGGAGTGATAGTTCACAAGTACAGACTCATCATATTTTGTACATTTTAGATATGATTTATTCCACAATCTTTTGAGCTGACGTCATCAAGTTTTTGGAGGGGATAAGCAAATATTTTTTGACTAAAGATTTATGATGCTCTTTATAGCCTTAAAACATCTGCAACATTTCAAAGCATTCTGGTTAGCAGATTAAAAATTAAATTTCAAAATGTTGTTTTATAATTTTGATTTTTTTTCCAAAAATCTGGACGTTTCGGGTGAAAAGTCGATTCAGAGTTGTAAACTACATGTGTAGGACTATGTTATTTTATACAATTGAAAACCCATTTACTATGTACAATTTTGAAGTGACGTCATCGCTTTAGTGGTGGGGATGATTCGACAAATTTTGGTTAGCGTTTTACCATCTACATGATATTCTTAATATAAGTACAAAATTTCACAACAATCGGTCGAGTACTTTCGGAGATTATCTGTCTAATAAAAATCCGTGACAACAGACGGACAGACGGACAGACGGACGGACAGACGGACAGACGGACAGACGGACAGACGGACAGACGGACAGACGGACAGACGGACAGACGGACAGACGGACAGACGGACAGACAGACGGAAATGGGAGACCTATTTCTTCGTCTTCTAGGGGTCATGAAAGATCGAGAAAACGTAAAAGTAGAGAGTCGGCCGACGGACTTAAAGTCACTAGATCTACTATTACTTTTAGAAAGTACGGCAAACTGCCTGTGGTCGGAATTCGACAGAGAGGAACCTAACCTATGTGTTAAACAAAGATAGCGCGAGGCTAGTAATTTTCGCTATCTGTCAACGAAAGGTTGATGTGTTTACGATTTGAGGTTACGACAGACTGTACTAGAATTATTGAGTTAACGGACCGGAAAGAACACTATTCCAGTCCCAAAGTAACTCCAGCCCTATTCAACGAGAAAGTGTCACCGGTAACCAGCAAACAGTCGTGGAAGACGTGTTACCACCAAGGCAATTGACGGCCAAATGACAGTAACAGGATCGCCATACTGGAAGCAAAAAATACCTGCTGTCGAAAAGACGGAGCATAACAAGGACACAGATATATTTCTATTTCATAAAAGTTACTAATTGCCACACATTTCAAGATTGAGTCACATTAGACGGACTCGATTACAATACTTCCTTTGCTTACGCTCGGGAAGTAAAAAGAGATGAAAAATACTTATAGGAGGGGATTTTAACGCAAGACTGGGCGATAAGGGGACAAGAATAATAGATAAAGAAAAGGGAGAGAAAAGAGGATCAAAAGACAAAGCAAATAACAAAGAAGGGAAAATATTGTGGAAGATAATAGAAGAAATGGGATCGGAAATTTTGAATGGAAACAAGGAAGGAGATCAAGAAGGAGAATGGACGTACGTAGGGGCTAGGGAAGAATCAATGATAGACTATGGGATTGTCAACGAAGAGGCGTAGAAAGAAAGAGAGTTTCAAAGTCAGGGAATAGAATAAGAACTAGAAATAAAAATCAAAATAAAAGAGTAAGAGTATGAAAAACAAGAGAAGAAACGAAAGAAAAGAAATAGAAAAAATAATATAGGATGAAGAGGGAATTCAAAGATACAGAAGTAAACTAGAAAAAAAGAAATTCGAAGTAAAAGAAGATATGGAAGCTATGATAGCAGAACTGATCGACTTAATTGTAGAAGCTACGGAAAAAAGAAAGATGTACATATGGCAAGGGAGGAATAATGGATGGAACGGAGAATGTAGTGAGTTGAAGAGAAAAGCAAGGGAAAAATTAAGAAAATGGAAGGATAACAGAGGAAGGAAAGAAGAGTACTTAAAAGCAGGAGAGAATTATAGGAGAAAATGTGAAGAAAGAAAAAGAGAAAAACGAGAAGAAGAAGAAAAGACAATAAAGTCCCTGAAAACAGAACAAGAAGGAAGACTGAAATCAGTAGGAAAATCAAAATACATGAATGGAAAAGACACTTTATGGAATTATTGGGAGGTTGTGAGGAAAAATGCTGCAAAATAAATAAAGAAATCACAACGACGGAAGAAATGTGGAGAGGTTCGGAAATAACGGAAGATGAAATAGGAAGACAGATTGAAAGACTGAAAAGAGGAAAGGCATCAAGAGGGGATGGAATTCAGAACGAAGCTTGGATGTTTGGGACAGAAGGAGAGAAAGAAAGGATATTGAAAGTGGTAGATGGAGTTTGGAAGGGAACACGATTTTCTCAGCAGTGGAGAGAAGGTATAATAATCCCATTATTTAAAAAGGGGCAAAAAAGTGATGTGAAGAACTACCGAGGGATCACCTTGCTCACTACGGCGTACAAGATATACGCAATGATACTAAGTAGATGAGAGGTTACGAAAGGAGATGGAAGCAAGGGGTATGTTACCAGACGGTCAGGCAAGGTTTAGGAAAGGAAGAGCTACTATGGACAATGTGTACATCCTGTGACATTTAGTGGGAAGAGAAATAAGGAAAGAGGGTGGACAAATGTACACATTTTTTTTCCTTTACCCCATCCCCCCTTGCCCCAGCCTTACTCTTGTCTTCTCCACTTCTTTCATCCATTCCACCCCTCGTCCGTCTTCATTCAATATCTCTGTTACACTCTCCCCTCTTTCTTTGCTCTTCTCACAGTCATGCAGCATGTGCTCTATCGTATCTCTCCCTTCTCCACACATCCTACACATTCTCTCACCTTTGCTTACCCAAAACTTATTATTTCTTTCTTCATTTCCACACCTAAATCTCGCAATTATTTTTTTTTCTTTCGCGCTTTCTCTGTCTAGGTACTTTGGTACTGTTTCTGTTATTATCTTTCTATAGTCTGCATTGTACCTAGATTTACTTACACTCGCTCTTCTCTCTTGTTTATCTATGTCTCTGTCACGCATACACAACTCTTCTCTCATACTCACCGCCATTTCCCTTTTTCTCTCTATTTCCATCCATGCGTATCCTAGTCTTTCATAATATCCTTGTCTACCCTTGTGATGTTCTTTCCCTGCTTCCTTTTTTTTTCCTTCCAGCGTTCATACAATATCCTACATTCCTCTCTGTCTTTCAACCTTTCATCATACTTTACAGCTCTTTTCCCAGTGTATACTCTTAATTTCTCTCGTTTACATTCTTCTCTTACTATATAGCCTGGCGTCTCTTTCCGTAGCCCTAACATCCACCTCAAATATTTTTCTTGTACTACTTCCATCTCTGCATATTCCTTCCATCCCCATATCTCCACTCCATACATTAATACACTCCGAACTAAACTATCAAACATTTTCATCCTTCTTCTTACGTCATGTCCAAATATTATCGCACCGATACTCCACACCATTCCCATTATCTGCATTGCTTTGACCCTTCTTTCTCTTATGTGTGCCTTTACCGTGTTAGTTGTTGTAAACTTAAATCCTAAATATTTAAACTCCTTTACTGTGTCTATGATTCGATCTTCCCAAAGCCACACTTTTTCCTCCCCTGTTCTTCCTTTTTTTCTAAACACCATCATTTTTGTTTTTTCTACATTTACCTCCAGTTTCTTTCTTTTAAATATCTTTGCAGATTTTTTTTCATCTCATTCATACCACATTCATCCTTCGTCAATATTACCAAATCATCTGCAAATGTCAAACACCATACGTTTTCTCTCCCCACCACAATTCCTCCCGCTTGTACTCCTCTAACATTTCCTCGATATCGCTTATGTAACAAGCAAACAGACTGGGATTTAATGAGCATCCCTGTCTCAATCCTTTCGTCGTCCAAAACATTTCACCTTCTACTCCTACTCTCACACTAGTCACTGTCTCTCTATAGATCTCTCTTGCTGCTGCAATTAACTTTTCACTCAGTCCTCTTCTCTCCATGCATTCGCACAAACACTCTCTGTCCACCGTATCAAACACGGCTTTTAGGTCTACAAACAGTGCATATATCCGACCTCCTTCCTTTAGCAACTCTTTTTCTATTAGATGATGCAGGATATATTCATTGTCCATAGCCCATCTAATTCTTCTAAATCCCGCTTGACTTTCCGGTAATATACACTTTTCGTTCATCTCTGTCACCAACCTTTCATTTAACACCATTGCGTACAGTTTATATGCCGTATTTAGGAGAGTTATTCTATTCTCCGATAATTCTCTACTTTTTCTTTACTACCGTTTTTATGAATTGGGCATATTTGCCCTACTCTCCATTCCCTGGAAAAACCTTTACCCGCCCACACATCATTCATTAACTCGCTCAATCTGTCAGTAATCCCATCCGTCCCAAATATCCACACTTCGTTTACCAACCCATCCCCCCCGATGCTTTTCCTCTTTTCAGTCTTCCTACTTGTTTTCCTACTTCCTCTACTCGAATCTCCGCCTCCCTTTCTCTACCACCAATCCCGGTTTTATAATGCTCAATTCCTTTTTCATTCCTTACCCATATCTTCTTCTCTTTTCCTACTTCATTCCTTAAGCATCTGCTCCCTCTACTTATGCCCCTCACTTTTACTTCTAGTGGCATGTGATCGGAGTCCACTCTTTCTCCTATTTTGAATGTTTCTACCTCTTCTTCTGCTAATCCGTTTACTGTTACGTAGTCTATTACCGATTCCCCTCTTTTACCTATCCAGGAAAATTCCCCCTCCTCGTCCCCTTCCTCTGTTGTTGCTTGAAATGCTAAAAAAATATAACATTTTAATAACAATAAATAATAAATTTTGATAGTCAGTTTTGACAACGGTGGAATGACAGGTATACCAATTTCAAGCAAAATTCATTAATACCAACTAAAACATTACTTGTTAATGACGCTGTGTTATACCAAGAGAGCAATAAAAATTCGATGTCCAGCATTTTCGAGTTGAGTTTTTTCTTTACACAATTTTGTGATGATGTCAACATTTTTGCAAGGACACGTATATCAACTTGGATTGGTGCGGTGTAATACTAAAAATAACAGTATTGTATTCCCAAAATTTTCTGAGAAAATGAAGTGAGCCATCCCTGATTTAATAAATAAAATAAACTGACTCATTCATTAAATTTTTTGAGACACCTGTTTAAACAAATCTAAAAAATATTAATACAATGCAAAGTGAACACTCATCATATTTTGCACATTTTGAGTAGAATTTATTCGGCAAAATTTTGAGATGACGTCATCAATTTTTTGGGACAAATAAACAAATTGATTTTCATTAATAATTTACCATGCTTACCATAACTTTAAAACATCTGCAAGATTTCAAAGTATTCAGGTTTGAAACTGAACGGTACGTCGAGAAAACGTAGAACTGGCCATTCGTCCGATGAACTCGATTACAATACTTCCTTCGCTTACGCTTCAGAAGTAAAAATATTAATACAGTGATAAATCACAAGTATAGACTCATCATATTTTGCACATTTAAGATACTATTTATTCAGCAAAATTTTGAGGTGACGTCATCAATTTTTTAGGGGGGGGATGAGCAAATGACACAAAATTCGACTTCACATTAAGAAAAATTTATTCAAATTCATTTTTAAGGTTTAGGTAACAAAACTTAAAAATTTGCTATACAACTGTGCTTTATTTGTTTCAAGATGTTGATACTCTTTATTATAAGTAGGTACTTAAATTCTGTTCGCCGGCTGCATCACGTAAAAGAGTGTGATTTGGAGAAGCAGATGGTTTTGAAACGAATTTCCTTATTTAGTTTTCGCTTAGACTTTACTTGCCGGATAACCTGACCGACCTGATCTTCATTTAAATGTCACACGAAGAGGGCGGGTAGAAAAATATCGGTGTTGGAATGGGAGTCTGTTTGAGTGAACTTCAAAGGGGAAGTTAAAGTTCGGTTTGACGGGTTTTATTAGGTCAGTAACAAATTAAGAGCCCAAGTTACGTCTCTCTTTGTCTGAAACATTTGGTTTTTGAACCGCATAAAATATAAACTTACAATGCCGCTTTTGTCGTCCCAAGACTGCTTGTAATATCTGTTCCATTTTCAAACTGTTACTGTCGTCTTTAGTTTTAATTTCTTACAATCAACAACAATGTTTTCTAAGTTTTCTAATAAACTCGGAACATTGTGATATATGTTTTTTTTTTCCTTTATAATAAGGTAATCGATAGAGCCCGTCCTTTTAAACCCCTTATAATCCGACAGTAAAATTTTATGAGTGTGTCCACCCTCTAAGATTTTCTAAATTTGATCTGTAAGTCACAATGCCAAGTAAAGTAACAGGCAATTAAAGACAGACTTTTAAGTTTACATGATCTTGTAGCCCCCTCCTAAGGATTTAGAAACATCCTTTTTATTAAAGATTAACAGATTTGCGTCCCCAGGTAATTATCGGTGGACTAATATTTACGATACATTTACACCTAGCCAGTATTTTGAAATCTCCCACCATTGCAAATTTTTGTTTAAAAGTTGTTACAGTTGGCATCGAACTTTTATTTGTAGCTAGAGTGGAATGAAATTAAGCGCAAAAGAATCGTCTCTTCAATTTTTGGTAAAATGTGTAACATATTACCCCACAACAATTCCATCTAGCGCCATGCCTTAGATAACGAAAATTTTGAATGTCAATTATTGAATTTAAATTATGAATATGGTCCTCTGGCGTAAAGTATTTATTTGTTTTATTTTATTTACTGATGTGAATATGTAACAAATGCGTTAGTAAAATATTCATTCTAACACGTTTTTTCTTGACCCTTTGGCCCATACAACAAATATCTAAAATTGTGTCTTAATCAAATTCAAAGTGCAAAAAGTAATTGTTAAAGTAATTTGTAATTGTAATGACTATTGTTACTGAATAATGAGTAATTGTAAAGCATTACCTACTTTTTAAAAGCAATTGTTCTAATCACTGAATAGAATTAAGGCGTTTTTTATGTAAAGGATTTTTTTCTTTCAAGTTGCAGCATAAAAAAATACTTCCGACTGTGGGAGGTATAACAGTTTGAATAAGCTCGAACTGTGTATTGCGAGAACTGGGTAATCGAGCTTAAATAAACAAAACTACATTAAGTCAATGTTTTACTCAACTAGCCCCAGATGGAACATTACAATATGAACTGAGGCAGCTTTTTCATATTCCTCAAATTCGATCTTCACCTTTTGTCTTGAGGATTAATCTTTTTCGCCATCACTTCGTAATTTCGTAAAAGTCTTACCTCAACACTCCTTAATTGCGTTAGACACCTGGGGCTAAATCTCCGGAGTTCTGGGTGAAAAGAAAATCATCTGGACTTCGTAAAAAGTACTAAGTTCTATATATTGTTCCTGAAACACTTTGTATAGTTCAAAATAATTTTAGTTCTTTGGTCGTTGACTTTTATTTCCATGTTTAACAGTAATCAACAAGGTATTGAGGAACGCGCTCTTAGTGACTCACCCTGTATATATATGTACTTCTCGTGAGGTCACTGCACTCGTAGTAAATTTTCAAGACAGACAGCTTACCAGTATGTGTTACCACTGGTAATAATTATGATTGTTGGACATTCCACTGCGCTACACAATGGAAATATTTTGGCACAATTTACGCAAATTTTTCAAATCAATTTTTCCCCATTTCGTAACGAAAGCACAACGTACGGCTAGGGATCAGAGGCGGTACCGTTTGGTATAAAATAGGTTCATCAGGAGTAAAAATGTCTTACTATTTGTTTAATTATGGCATAAAAACTAAGATATTTCTAACAACATAAAAACTATCTTCCCTCCCCTCATTCTATCTCCATGGTTGAAAATAACCAAAGAACAGTGGAGAAATGATTTCACAATTTGGTCGTATACGAGTATTAAAAAAAATGGTATTGAAATCTCCTTCGATCATTCGATGCACGATAACACTATAACGTTTATTACCCCCACAACACGGAAAACACAAAAATTGTCGACACGTTTTCATAAGTTTCGAGAACCGTTGTTTAAAAATTGCAATAACCGTTAACAATATTGTCATAATTATATTTAAACAATCTTTTTTTTATAAATTTAAAGACATTTTATACATTTCATACCTACGGGTTGTATATATGATGTTAAAATAATAAACAAAAAACAGGACACGTCAAAAGAAAGCACCCTGACAGGTTTAGAGTTTAATCAATTTTTTGTACCCATAAGACAAAAATGAGTGAAGAAAACACTTAGGAAGTTGAATCAATAGTCAATAGGTAACATGTTGAATAAGACCCATATTCCAAAAAATTCATAATCCTCTTATTTATTTTCAGTAACAGAAGAAAAAATTATGCAGTTGAGTAAAATTCTAAAACAGAAAACCACCGTAGATACTTACGGCTTTAACACACTTTTATTGATCAAGACACTCCCAACCATAATAATACCTCTGACATGTGTGATAAATAGATGTTTCCGTGAAGGACGCTTCCCGGATCAATTAAAAAGAGCGAAAGTATAATACCCATCTTCAAGAAAGGAAGCATTGAATTACAGGCCGATCTCCATCCTGTCCGCTCTATCAAAAATTTGTGAGCTTCTACTGAATAGACTAGATATAGAAAGAAACAAGATCTTTTCAATTCCTGTCAGCACGGGTATACCGAAAGTAAATCGACGTAACCGCATTAATCGCGATAACAAACAATATAATGAAGGAATAGATAACAAAGAAAATATCGAAGTAACCTCAGTCTTCAGTTTTCTTAGTGTTTTTTGCTCTATTGGAAAGTTTTCTTAGCCCCGATTGAAGTAGGCTGAGCGTTCGGTTCTATCATGTTGTACCTTTGCTCAGGTTTTCCTTCTTTAGGGGGCAACTTTTCTCATAAGCTGACATTAGAGAGTCGTTGATAATGGTCAAAGTTTCCTCGCTGTTTTCTGTCGATTTATATTCTATTGGTATCGACTGTACGGAGGTCCCCAGTCTGTCTTCCAGTTCTTCGTTGTGTAAAGCCCAGTTCGTCAACCTAGGGTTCCTGTACGTCTTTGTCTTTATGTCTATACATTTTAACGTATACGTAATAATCCATCTATGATCTGACACTGATGCCTCTTTAAAGACGTGCCATTCCATTATACAGAGTGTTCATTTTATCTGTTCACGCCTGACAATTTACAATTACATAGGCA